TTCCTCCTTCTAGTTATATTTTGCGTAGTGTTTACTCGATATATTTTTTCTTTACGCGATGTACACCGTCGTGAAAACAAACTAGAACTGAAGTCGAATCGCTAGTTGAATAGCCAGTCGGAGTGTGAGTGAAGACGAATACCCAGACGAATACGAAACTAGTAGTCCAAATAAGTAGGAAGGCAAATCGGAACGTGAATGCCCAGCTTTACTAAAGCTACGGTTTGTTAGAACAGTGAGAAGTGCACGACATACACGTACAGCAGAATCTGCTGTAGTCGACTAACGGCAGTGTTGGGTGAGTCGGTTTGTTAGATTAGTTTGCATACTACGTTTAAAAAAATTAGTTCTCGCAAACCTAACGCAATAATTTAATTACTTCAAGAAGAGGAGGAAGAAGAATAGTTGATACCGTTACATTTAAATAAAAGAAAAAAATGTTATCGAAATTTTTTCATAAGCTAAAAAAGATGGTGCTTTTAAATTAACACTCGAAGAAAGATTGTTTCAAAACGAGGAAAAATTTCGAGAATATTTTAGACTTTCAAGGGATTTATTTGAAACTGCCCTACAACTTGTACTAGATCCACTAGTCTTTCATCTTCTTTGGGAGAAAATTTAGTGGACATCACTTAATTATTACAATATTAATAACTATATAAAAATACAATTATAATTTCGGTATAGATGTGTACGCTGTGAGCTCAGCTTCGACGTACACGGCTATCGGTCTGCAGTGCGCGTAGTTCAGCAGAACCTAACAAACCGTTATAATAGAGAACCACTTTTCTTTGAGTTTGACGAACGTGCGCGGCGTTCGACTGACTGTGAGTTATGCGTCGATCACTGTTCTAACAAACCATATCTTAGAGAACGATTCGTTAAAAAAAATGATAATAACCGGTTTTGTTTATAATTATCTAAGCTACATTTTTATTTAAAAACCTTTTTTTATTCTTTCTTCTTCCCTTACCAGGGGATTTTTTGAGAAAGCCGGGAGAGCCTAAAGTTTTATACATATTTTTTGGGGTCCCAAAACAATAATATTTAGTTTGGACGTATAATTTTTAGAGATATATTGGCATTGTCGTCTCTGGTGACTAAAGTATATCCTAAAATATTTTTTTTAATAACACAAAAATAAACTAACCAACCATGATTGGCTATTTTTAGTTATTTAACGGTATTTTTATAATATAAAATTGGAACGTTATATAGAACATACAACTCAATTGTTTTTAATTTTCAATTTCATATAAAAAACTCTTATTGGATTAAAAATCCTAAAACGTACACAGAAAATATAAAGAATAAATAAAAATACCAAATTGTATCTCGTATCCAAATAATCAAAGCAGACATACACAAGGACATAAAAAAGCATAACCACGTGAACTGAAAACGGTTTGAAGGTAATAAATCGAATTTATTTTTTATGAGGTACATTAAACTTATTTATTTCTTTCCTAACAGATAACGTAAAAAACAAGCATTTAAAGTGTGTTTTGGTTATTACTGCAAAAGTAAAGGAAACGACTTTGTAGAAAATATTCAACGCCATTTAAACTGCATTTGAAATTTAGTATTATAGTATGGTATAATTAGACCCAAATCCTGACATCAAAAGTAAAAGTTATTCTCCTACACCAAATTGGTTTGTATAGTTCTCATATATTTCATATATTTCAGTAAACAGTTTGGTAAAAGTAAAGACTATTTGGAGCGTCAGTTTGGTCGCAAGTGGGGGGAGAATCGGTAAATTAGTAGTTTTTTACGTTTTTTTGCAAATAGTTTGAAAACTATGCCATTTAGCGTAAAAAGATACAAAAATTAATTATAAAACACAAACGGTCATAATTGTTCTAAAATAAAGGGTTCCGGTGATACGGAGCGTGTAAAAGTGGAGGTTGTCCATATTTTTTATATTTTTGGGCAAATGCAATATTATTAATGAGAAAAATTTTTTTTAACAGGATTGTGTTTTGTAAAAAATGTAATTTGATATTTAATTGGCCAGTAGTCTGTTAGTGATAAGCTCTTAAAGGAACGTTAACCTCATTACCTTCTCAAGGGGCGATAATTTTAAAAATTAAACAGGCTAACAAGCGGCACTCTGAACTTTAAATTAACCATGAATACCATTCCAACTCTAAATTCCAACAAAATAATTTTAAATATTCAAAATATTTCTTGCATAGTAATGATGATACAATGCTATGAGTTTTGAGTAACCTATTTATCAGTTTTAGTTCTCTCCAAATACAATATGCATCTATTCTACATTTTCGTCTATGAATGTTGTATCCTTTTTTCACATCCTAGGATTGAGCAATTGTTGCATATATTATGCTTAAACAGTGTAGACCACTCTTTTATACTCACACGCATTCATTATTGCAAGTACGTACTATGATGGAAACTAATTTCTCGGGAGCTGCAGCACTTACTGTTGTAATTGGTATCAGGTATTTGTTAATCTTGTTCCAATTCCAGATTAGAAAATTCTTTTTCTCAATTAGCCACTGCTGTATATGATGGTAGATTCTAGATGAATTATGTGTGGAAGCTACCAAAGTGGTGGGTAGTGCAGCTAACTTGAGCAAAGAATGTATAGGCTGCTTTGAAATAGCTTTGAAGTAAGATTTATAGCGAAAACAATCCAGTCCGTGTTTCTGGCACTAAACATCGCAATAAGAAAATGCTTTCAGCGTAACCTACTGCACTGGGATCTGCTTTGGGGCCGCTGAAGACTAAAGTTTTCTACAAAGAGCGTCGTTGGCTTGCAGTTTTCTAGACAGTGTAACTTTTCCCTTCTTGTAGATAGCTGATAATGTGTCACATCCTGTAAAGGTGTTTATTACAAGAAAAACATTCTTTATATTCCCAATGTTTAACTTAATATCAGAATAACTGTAGACTTTTTGCTGCTGATTGCGTTTATTTGGTACCACCATTTTTAATTTCTGCTCTTCAGAAATCCATATCATAAAGTTGAACGTCTTTTTTAGCTTCATTAATAGCTCTTAGAACTAATAATACGTCAGAGTTACCCGATGCTCAATAAACTGTACAAGCACATATTTGTAAGTTTATTGTAAGAAGTGAAATAAGAGCATTTGGTGGTTACCGTTAGCTAAAAATTCACTTTGGTTTATATTTACATGAATTGAGCCTTTAACTTTAACTCCTAAGCTAGAACGTGCTCGGCGTGCTAGAAAGTGCTTTTAATATTTTGTGTTTCCTTGCTGGTATTCATCACCAATGCCTGTTCCCTAATAAGTAATTACGTTGTCTCTGTATTGCTTGCGAATCTGTTTAAAGGTAGCTAAGCTTTGCCAGGCAAAATATTAAGAAGATAACATCCGCCAATAATGTATGTATGACATTTTTACTAAATCTAGAGTATATGATGATTCTTTTATATCTGAAACCAAGACAGTAACCATAAAAAATTTGCTTACTTTTTCCAATTAACCAGATTTGTCAAACAAAGATCGAGGAAACGCACACAGGTCGTATTGAAATATTTCTCCTTCACACCATCCGGCGTAAGAGAGTGTTTGGGTTTACACATACCGTGGTAATGTTAATTGTCATCGACCTGATTATAGAGGCGAGAAACAGCTAACTTTGTTTTTAAGTCTATTTTATTGAATGCTTTTTTTTTCTATATCTTTCAAAGCCAGCGCATCGACTAAAAACGCTTCATCAGAGTTCTCGTTTTTATCCTTTATAACCCCTGTTGATAAAAAAAGAGTTTAAGTGTTTAATGTTTTAATACTTCGTACTTATTTAATTTTTTTACGGTTTGTAAATTTTATTATTTTTATTTTCAGTTTACGTTTACAATTTTTAAAACTATTTTGCTTATTAATTTCTCGTAATCTTATGAAGCATGGTCTTTATGTAAATCCTCCGTAACTTTGGAACCGTTTGCTTTAGGAGGATTTTGCATAAAAAATTGTTTGTTTTAAATTTAATGTAGAATATCTTTTTGTGGAACATTGTTCTTGCTAAGCCCCAATGGACCATACAGAACAATTTGGTGTTGGAGAAAAACTTCTACTTTGGATAACGAGCTTACGTCTTATTTTTGGACCAATTTTACCATATATTTAGTTTATATTGATTATAATGTCGATATTTAGATAGATCCAAATATAGATATTTAGATACTAATTTTAATCTGAAAAGATAAAACTTGTTTTATTCAATTGTAAATCTTGCGAATGTTTACCATTTAAATAAAATATTTTTGCCTAGAATATAAAATATGTTTAAGACTTAGTGAGGTAGCACAGCGATTCTCAACCTGTGATACAATTAGTCGCTGAAGGTAAATAATATCATTATTTGCGGTGGTACGCGAAACTCAAACACACAGCCAAAATTAGCACCACATGTAGTAACAAAAAAAAATTAATATAATATTTACGTTACAAGTTTAGTCGGTGACTAAATAACTAAAATACGGAAGCATTGTCGAAATATTGGTCACCCCAGCAACACTAATTATTAAATCGCTGAGTAGTTGCCAATGCCCTTTGGTGAAAAAATTAGTAGGTATTTGATTTGATAAGTAAGTACCAGTCCACAAAAGTAAGTTATGTTCGCCGTGTACCTTGTTATTTAACCATTGAGTAGTCGGGTGGGGGCCTGTGAGACCAGCGACAATTTATTTCTAATTCATCACTGCATATTTTCTGTTCGATTGCGCAGCGTTGATCAGTACCTTTCCGTCCTCATGTCGAACAACAGTGAACAACGGGGTTTATATTAGTATTAGTGTAATGATAGTTCGATAGTTAGTTGCACTTTTGGTCTGTCGGACTCTACCCGGACTATTCGAGTAGCTTTTGTGGCTTCAACCAGTAAATTTATTTTTCAATTTTCTGTGAAGTATAACCTACATAAAGTAAGTATTTTAATATGTCTGGTTATATATGAATATAGTAATGTGCCAGCTTTTAATTTTTTTTATTTTACATTTCAAATTTCAGTGATGGATTCTTATCTGAAAGAAATTCAAAAATTACAAAAGCTCTATGATGAAGTAGATAAAGAAAATATTCATCTGGAAAGCAAGCCAGAATCAGACAGGTGTGAAGAAAGTGACCACATCACAGACAAAGAAGAAGAATGTAAGAAAGAATTGGAAACAAAATTGGAGGAAGGATTGGGGGAGAAACCAGCAACTTCAAAATATTTTAAAACAAGTATGAAAAACCGGCGGCTCTTTTATTATGGAAAAGATAATCCTAATTAATAGGGGTATCCTAAAGAAAATATGCGCCTTCAAAAATTTTCGGACAAAAAGTTCTAATTTAATTTTATACTTACCAGGTTTAAAAGGAAATGCTCGTCAAGCAGTTGATACTTGAGTGTTGGAAATGTAGTATTGATGACAATATTCTCAAAACCATTGTACAGAACACAAACATGAATATTTATAAACCAAGAAACCATTATGCAGATCAGAATGCAGCCTGACCTACAGGTACACCAAAATTAAAAAGAATTCTGGGCTATTGATGGAACAAGAGGTGAATAATACAATACTTTACTACAAGAACGTAAATACTATAGAAGAAAGAAGAACCATAGAGCAACTAGCACCAATTAAAAACGTTTTTGATAAATTTTATAAGAAATGCAAACTACGTTTCTGGATCTTACTTAACATTAGACGAGATGCTTTTTACATTCTGTGGACGTTGCGGATTCCGCATGTACATCTCAAATAAGTCTACGGCATAAAAGTATTTTTCTAAGTGGACACCAAATGTTTTTACACGGTAAATATGGAAGTATACGTTGGAGCTTAGCTTTCAGGGCTATATAGCGTTGGTTCTAAAACCACCGATTTAGTGAAAAGAATATGTAAGCCTGTATTTGGATCGTCTAGAAAACTATGAATAATTGGTTAACAAGTTACGAAATTGTTAAAATTCATGCCAGATCAGCACAAAATTATAATTGTTAAAACAATTCGAAATAATAAAAGGGAGATTTCATAACGACTTCTTGATCCCAGCAGTGCACAGTCCCACACACATAGATTTGCATTTTCCAAATTCATTACTTTATCCAAGTTTATACCTCTGTAGTTTTCTTACTGGTTCTTATCTCCTTTTTTGAATAGTAGAATTATTTCACTCGTTCTTTATTCGTGCATTATTAAATTTTATTTTGTAATTTTATATATTAATGTTGTTAAGTGTTCTGCCATTGCTGCTTTACAATATTTCAGTAACTAGTTTGGTATCCCGTCTTAACTTGCTTCTTTTCTGTTCCTCAGGTTTTTTTAAGTATTTTCCGATCTTTCTGTACAACACTTATATAAAGTTCTTCATTTGTGGTAATTTCTGTTGTTTCCGATACTAGCGTCGTTTGTTCTTCTCTTGAATATACCTTTTTTATATAGTCAATCCACATATCCTTTTCTATGTGTCTTTGTTCTTTGCCAATGGGATGGCTAATGGTGTTTTTTTATAATTTAATCGATATTAGAGGCAAAAAATTTAAAATTACACATAAGTGTAACGCAAATAAAACCGACCTTATTTCAGAACGAAGATTGTTTTTTAAATCAATTGGTTTAGCTTTGACAAGAGAGATCATGCTAACCGAAGCAAGAGACCCTCATTTAGAAACGAATATTAGAAATATCGCCCAAAAATTAAGTGTACATGCAGATCCAGTGCCTCCACGTCCAAATAATTCATTGAGAATATTGTCCAAATCGTAAAACACGATATTTTTGTGTCAAATGCCAAAAATGGTTAGACTTAGGGCATGTTTAACCGAATCGCGAAGACCGCAATGAAAATGAAAATTAGGATTAGAAAGTTTGTCTATTACATGTAGGAGAAGTACTTTTTTGTTAACTTTTTTTGCATTTTCTTAAAAATGTTGTTTATTTTATCATAGTATTTATAATGGTAAAGATGTATTAAAAAGGAAAAAAAATTGTACATATATCAAATAGTTTTATTTTAATCTTTTCTAATGTGTTGTGTTAAATAAAAACTGGGCCTTACAGAACCACCCGACTGTTCTCGTAATTTGCATGTACCCGATTACTTAAGAGTCAATTAAAAAGTAATGGATAAACTGTCAAAGATATTTATAAAAGCTGTAGAACAGTGGTCAGTTTAAGATAGTAAACTTAATGTGTAATATGTTTTGAGCTCCTTTAAAATCATTCAATCAAGCTGTCTTGACTGCCGCTTTATTTTAATGTGAAGCAAAAGAACCTATTAGAAAGACTATTTTTTAACTTAAAGAAGCTAAACATAAAAGTAGATAAAATAACAGTATTCTCTTTGGTTCATCAAGCAACGAAAAAGCTGTTAGAGCTTATTTTTTGTCTAGTTTAACCCGGCACTCGTTAGGTTGGTTTTTTTAGTCTGGTGATTGGTCCAGCATAAGATTTTTTCTTACTTATACAACTTTTTCCTTTTTTTGGAAAAGAAGATTTTTAACATAGATTTAACCTGTCGTAACTGGCGCTTGTTTTCTATGCACCGATAGTGGCGCGCATACCTTTTTGCACGTGAAGTGCTTGATTGTACAGTATATGATCTTTTTTTATGAACAAACATTCTAAGTTATTATTATATTTATTTTATTAAAATTATACATGAAAAAATAAAAAAATAAAGTTAGGTATTGCTTTTAACCATATTATCAGAATAACACTCTCCACATACACAAGTTAAACGTTTAAGCACATGAATTTGACACATTGTTTATATAAGAAATCTGCTTATCGATTTTTTCTCCTGTCACAATAACTTACATACGAGTTATTAAATTTACTACCCTTGTTCATAATGTGGGAGAAGGTTGTTTTGCCTACTTACTTTTTTATCTTTTCCAACCAAATAAGGTAGTTGTGAGGGACTGACTTTTATGTATTTATCTTTAATTTCATTCTCAGAATCGGAATATATTTCTTGTGTCTTTGCTATATTCTCTTTGCTGTATTTTTCGTTCACACTTTTATACAAAAAGCCTATAAATATTATAATATAAAGGCCTATAAAAGCGCGAATTTCAGATGGATTTTAAATGTTTTTCATCCCCATCAATTGAGAAATTGCTTGCTATACTTTCAATTATATTTGATAGTGTTTACTATAATTGTGTTGTGTTTAACACAATCATGTCCTTATAAATAAAATAACTTATGTTTCATAAATGTCAAGCCTTTGTACGTCATTTTCTATTAGGCCTAGGTAAATCTTTTACTATATTAATGTTGCTCGTACCTACTCTTTTTGTTACTTTTTAGAGGCTTTCTCCACACAGCACCATTTTCCCCCTTAACACTTTCTTTAAGTGTTTCTTTTTCCATCAAGGGTTAAAGTCTCCTTTCTTCCTTCTCATAGTTTATTCTGAAAATAAAGTAAAACAAATTAATTTTTAAGTTTACTGTAGCATAAAATTTTGAAAAATAAATCTTTTTTACTCAATAAAAAGAAATAAAAGTAAAAAAATAAAAGTGGTAGTTATTGGCTGCAAAGTTATTTTAGAATTTGATCTCGATTTGATGAATTTGGTCATATTGCAACCTCAGTGCAAGACTGCAGTAAGTCAGAATAAGTAAGTTTTGAGATAAATACGATTTTGTTTATTTTCGTGCTAATATCGGTGAAATATGACACAAGTTTTAAGACAAATTTTAATTTAATTACGATTTTGGATGCTTTTCAGTCTACATTACATGAACCAAAAAATAGAAATTTAAATAAAATAATATTAATGCAAAAAAATTAGGAATTACAAAATTACAACACTTTTGCACTGAGAAAATTGTAAAAAGTGTAGACACATTTTTTGTTAGTTATTGTCCTCTTCTCGTCTATTATCTTGAGCCAAAATATTGTTGTAAAAGCTATGGTGAGCTTTTGGTATAAATATACCAAATTGTTCTTTTTGGCGATTTAAATTTTGACCATTGATTTTGAAAACAAGAGTAGATAGATAGATTAAAATACAATAATTAATTTAAATTCAACTTACTCTACATGTCGTTTCTATCCTCACTTATCTACGCATACAGGAATAAAATCCTCAATGTTCTGGAAATACTAAATTTTGATATTTTCGAAATCGTAATTTCTGCATCTATTACTTGCAAGGGCTAATAACAGATTAGGTATCTTAAAACTACACTACTAAAATGTACCCACTAGTACTTCTTCCCCGAGAACTCGTTTCTAATGAGTTACTCAGGGTAGGTAAAGAGAAAGTAATCTCCAACAACGATAGGAATAGTACCAAACTTTACATTTAACGGATTCATAGAAATCACCTGGTCGATAAAGGGTAAGTAATTCCTGGAGTTTTGTACATACGTTTAATAAATTACAATAAATTATCGGGTAAGTAAAAAAAATAATCCCCAACAGCAATCAGCGTTTAGTATGGTACTAAACTTTACATTTAATAGATTCCAAGAAATCAGATAGCTACCTAGAATAAAGAGGTACCTAATAAAACGGCTTATCGCTAGCAAAAATTTAATCTTTCTATATAGCATATGTTTCTGATAGCCATAATTCCTTCTCTTTGTAATAACAATGTCATAACAAGGTAGAAAAATAATTTATAAAACCTTCAATAATTTTATTTAAATTCAAAACAAAAGGACTATAATAAAAATATGCAAATCGGGCTACCTTGAGTATAGTTATTAACAAAAGGATTGACATTCACTACCTTAGTAAAAGTTGAAAATTACGGGGGGACAATATGATAAGACAATCGCCTCGGAAAGTTACATGAAGATTTAATACAATTTGGGATTTAGTTTTCATAGAACAAGTTTTCTGAGAATAGATATTTTTTACCTGTCAGTATTGTTAATACATAAGTTTTAAGATAACTGTTTTTCCTTTCATAAAAATACTTTGTGGCTATAAATAATTAGTCTTAATTTATGTGTTTTTAATCCAATCTAATAAATAAATGGTTAAGCGACGTCGCACACATTTTATACACAATATAATGGCACACAAAGGACATAAAACTTGCAAGAACAGTTTGGTCTCGTAAATCTTTGTTTATTGTCTCGGCCGTAAATGAATTAAGTAGACACGCTGTATATTAAAATTAAACACCACAGATATAGATACTGAAATAAGAAATATTTTACTTTTTTCGTGCCTTTCATTGCTTGTTTTCGAAACCATTGCAATGTTTCGTGCAAAACTGATGTAACTCTGTTACATTAGAATTAAACAGTTTTGCACGGAACTT